TTTGTGGGCTTATGGAGTGACCAGCAGCGAAGGAAACACTAATAGTACAGAAAAGAGGGAATGGTCTGAGTGAAGCTGGTGGATGACTTGGATTAGGTAAGAAGGGATTGGGACCCGCCATCTTTAGTGGAGAGTCAGTATGTGTAGCAGCTTTCTCTGAATTCAAACATTCCCTCCAAGAGGAGGGAGGAGGCTCATGCAACTCAGATGGTAAAATAAAACTCACATGTCTAGGAAAGCGGAAACTTGGAAGATTCTTTTTATTTGCTTTTTTAAAAAATTAAAATTACATCATTTCTCCCTTCTCTTTTGTAACCATTCCCATATGCGATTTTCTTGCTCCCTCTTGAATTCATGGCATCTTTTTCTTTGATATATGTATGTATGTATGTACATATATATGCTTAAATAAATACGACTTGGTCAGTCCATTTTACTAAATACTTTCTTGAAGGTTATGATTTCAGGACTGACCACTTGGTATTGGATAACCCGTTAAAAGACTCAGCCCTGGAGAAGACTATTTTCCTGCTCTCAACATTTATTGTCTATAATTCTCTCTTTAGGGGTAGGGCCCATTGATGTTCCTCTTCCATGTGAGCATGTCTATTGGTGTTATACATGTTCAGGTCTTGTTTAGGCAGCCATATAGTTGAAGTATCATTGTGAAGCTTCCCTGACATTTCTAGGAGACACGATCTCACAGCAGCCTTCCTGGTCCTCTGGCTCTTGCAATCTTTCTACTCCCTCTTCCTCGATGTTCCCAGAGTTTTAGGTGCAGGAATTATATCATAGATATGTCAAATGGGGCTAGTAGTCTATGATCACTCATTTTCTGCATTTTGACTGGTTGTAGTTTTCTGTAATGGTCTTTGTCTATTACAAAGAGATGGTTTTTGTTTGTTTTCGATCAGGGGTGGGAGCTACACTGATCTTTGGGTATAAGAATAAATATTTAGATGTAGGTATGGATTATGCTGGTTTGGTAAAGTGTTGGTATGAGGTTCTCCTCTAAGATCCATGGTCTCACTGGCCCTGGGTAATTGGCTGGGTTTCCAGTACCAGGCATGATTTCCCTCCTGCTGATCAGGCCTTAGACACAATTAGACAGCTGTTACTTACCTCCGAGACATGAGTGCCACTGTTGAGCTCTTGTAGTTACCGTGTCATGCTGGCTGATGTTGTGGCTCATAGAAGTCACAGATTGGTAGAACCGATGGTTGCTTCCCACCTTTGGAAGCTTGCACAGCCCTTCTGGGACTATGGAAGCTAAACTTCAGGCTTTCAGATCAGATCCAGCTCAGAGCTTCTGGGTTTGTGCCTGAAGTGTGTGATGTCTTCTGCAATAGCAACCAACCTTCAACCTCTGGGAGGTAACCAAGGGCAACAACAACAGCCTGTATTGTTTTGGGAGTCTCTTGGACCAACAACTTGAAAGAAGGTTTCACATGCCTGGCATTAAGAGTTTTTGTTAGCTTTAGATTCTTGGTATGTGTGTGTGGGGGGGAGCACTGTCAACTCAAGTGGGAAAACTTCATTAAATTACATATGTATATGTATATATATAAGCTTATATGTATATTTATGTTTAGATAAATAATAGTGATTCCTTGTGGCTTTTGCAGACACCCCCTTCCTCCCTCTCTTTCTGTATTGACCTTGTTACTTCCTCCTCAATTAATGCCCTGCCCCCTTTATCCAGTTTCCCTCTTCAAATCACATGTATCCTCCTAGTCCCTCTCCTAGTGCTTCCCACAATCCCTTTTAACTCTCCTGCTTGGAATATTCTTGAAGGCCGCTTTCCAGGTTTATAGAAGAGAATACAAGTGCTGGAGGAGGATGCTCTGACCAGCTGAGCTGTGGAGAGGAAAACTTGAAGAGTTGTTGAGCTGCTTGCAAGCTGTGCATCGAGTTCCAGGGTTGCAGCTTTTGTGAATCATCACCGGTGTTGGGGGGGGGTGGACTTTTCCAGAAGTAACTTCTCATCCACTCATCCATGCTCCGGTTAGTAACCCCAATACAAACTCCTTGGTTCACCATGTTGGATTGTGTGCAACAGTTACTTTGGTCATTCCTGGGATCTCTTTCTGCAGTGAGTAGATATGTATGTCATTTCTCCCCAGGAGAAGTTTCTCACACAATAGCTGGGTACATGGAAATCTAATTGTGTAATGAGGGGCAAGGCAGAGAGACAGGGCTGGTATGTAGATGAGGGTAGATGTGATTTCTGTCTCACTGCTTCAATGTCCTCAATGAAATAGAAAACAAGGCTATTCCTTGAAGAGGAAGACATATAGATTGGAAGACACAGAGAGTATGGAATCTAGAAAATATGGAGGGGGGAGGCAGCAACCTGAGATTCACAGTGATACAATGAAAATAGAGATTAAGTATTGTGTTTTTCTATAGCTATATTTGGATGCTTGGGTCCTGATGGACAGCCAGCTTGAATCACAATTGTGTTTTCGCTGAACTCAATGAAAGAGGCAGAAAAACAAGGGGCTGAGGTTTTGTGCAAGAGTGACTATAATGGCTGGCCAGAAGCTAGAGGTAGGCAAGGATTTGAGAAGGCAGAGGCAAGAGTTGAGAATTCTTGAGAACTTGAAGTAGTTCAGAGAGTGATCTGAAACAGGAGGTAGTGATCTGAGAATCAGCTGCTTGAAACTGTGGTTATGAAAGTGGAGAGTTTGATAAGATTCCCATAAATAACACCACAGGAGTGCATGGCTGAGTTAGGGCAAAGGTCAAGGAACCAAGAGGTTGGGGAGCAGGGAGCCTTGCTTTGCAGAGGACCTAGCTGAGCTGTGGTTAGACTTGGGAGCAAACAGTAAGTGTGTACTGCTTTAATCCTCTAAACTTGTGATAACGTATTTTGCAGACATAGATACCTGACACAAAAGTTTGATGGTAGCCATGATATTCCATTTTAACATTCTTCTTTCAGAAGTGCATCCTGAAAGATTCACACATTGATCTACAACCAATCAGTGTTAACAATCTGCCAGTTGACAGATCTTCCTTCCATCTTTCAACTGTATTCTTGGGGCATTGCACTGTATATAGTTCTTATCCACCCCGGCCTTCCCTATAGCAGCCCGGGACTCCCCAACCCTCATATCCCTCTCCCCACTTCATCTCCTCCTCTTCTCTTTTTAGCCTACCAAGTCCAATTTGTGCTGCACCCTTCAATTTTGATGACAACAAAGTATTGGATTTGCAAAGGAATTTACTATTGATTCATTTAAGTAACACATTTTCTCATCTCAGACACCAATTTTTGAATCCCTTTGGATTCAAATCCCTAGTCCCTTTGACTAGGCCTGGGGTTTTACATATTGGGCCACCTGAATAGTGGGAGAGAAGTTTGGCTTTTGTAAGGTGTAAGGACAGTCTTGAAAGGAAATGTTGCCCTCAACTGCTTTGTCAAGACCAGGAACTTTAGAAAACAGTACACATGGTAGTGTAGGATCTGGAAATTAACTCTCTGAATAGTCTTGAAAAGTCTTCAGACACCTCAGGGGTAAGACCAGTTTCAGATGACAGCTTCAGGGGCTTTCTGGTTGAAGGGGCTTAACCCAGACTGGGATAGTACAGACAGTGGAAGGAAGGGGCAGAGAGTGTGAACCTCAGGGTATGTGTGGTTTCTCCCACAGGACTTAAAAAATGACTTAGAATGGTCCACTAGCTTGTCTTGAAGGAATCTCAATGGAAGCATTTCCAGGCTGGTGAAAAAAATGAAACAAAAAGAATGTGTAATTTATGTTTCCTGGGATGTCTAAATTAATTATTTTTGAGATAGGGTCTCACTCTTTAGGTCCTGGCCTGAAATTTGCTATGTAGACCAGGTTGGCGATCTCTCTGCCTCTGCCTCCCAAGTGCTAGGATTGCACGAATGTGCTATGAACCAAAGTCAGGGGTATATGGTAAGCCTGTGTTCTGATTGGTACAAAATTCATAAACTTAGAAAACAATTAGAAAGTCAAAATCAAGAGATGAGCCTTTTGCCTCTGAGTGACCAACTTTTGTTTTGACTTTTTGAGGTGTGGTGCTGGGATGGAAACAAGGCTTTGTCCACAGACACCAAATTTTGAATTGTCCCCTTAGGTTTCCCTGGAGGTTTTAGATATCCGGCCACCTAACGAATGGGAGAGAATTTTGACTTTTATTTTGCAATGTGTTAAGTTCTGAAACTGAGCCATACGTCCCTGCTTGCACAACCTACTCGGCAGGTGTAGAATATAGTAGGTCTTGAAAGTCGCCTCTAACTAGAAATTCCGTCTCTTTTCTAACTGCTCACATTTGGTCACACCGGCCAAGGCCCCTGCATGTGTGATTCCTTGGCCGTCCTGCGCGCCTCCAAGTTTAACCTTCGGGGCTCGATTCCGGGTTGGTGGGACGAAAGGGACAAACGCGGTTCCCATACCCGCCCTACAAAGTGAACTGCTACAAACACGGCAATTAGTGCGGCTCTGTCCACCAAGGTCTCCAAAATCCCAACCCAACCGATCGCTCCTCCCAAGCTGTCCCACGCCGCTTGGGTTCTCTTTAAACTGTCCCCGCGAAACAGCAACTCTCCTCCGCCGCCGCTCTGCGCACACAGCCAGAGCCGGCCCTGCTGGGACTAGGGCAGCGCGCAGACCGCTGCTGCCCGCGGGCGCCTGCGCACTGGGACCCTCCCTGATCTGGGCGGGAGGCGGGGGCAGCCGGGAGAAAGGAGCGCTGCGGGGGGAAAAGGGCCAAACCCTGAAATTACCCGGATGTGGTCTCCGCGCGCGCATGCTCAGTGTCCTTCCGACAAGTTGGCAGCAACAACACGGCCCTGGTCGTCGTCGCCGCTGCGGTAACGGAGCGGCTCGGGTGGCGAAGCCCGTGTTTGCGCCCGCCCGCCGTCCTCGGGAGGCCCATCCCGCGTCGCGCTCCGCTCCGCGGCCGTCCCCGGGGCGGGAGCGCGTGACGAGAGCCGGCCGCCCGCGAGCGAGGCCCCCCGCGGCGGGGCGGCTCCGGAGCTCCAGCGGCCCGGCCCGCGCGGTCCTCGGCGGGGAGAGGGGGCCGCCTGGGCCGGACGCCGCGGGCCGGACCCGGGAAGCGACGGCGCGGAGCGGCGCGGAGCCCAGGTAACGCACGGTCCTCCCCTACCCGGGCCTCGGCGCCCGCGCTTCCCCGCCCCGGGGCGGGCTCCCGCGGCAGCCGGCGCGAGCGCGGGCCCGGCGAGGCTCGGGTGGGTCGCCCCCCGCGCGCCGCAACTCCGCGTGCTCGCCCGTGGGTCCCGGGCCGCAACTCCACTCGCAGTTAGGTGAGCGGTCCCGGGAACTCGAGCGCCTTCCGCGCCGCCTCTCTTTGTTGTTCGGGAGGAGTTTGGCCGCGGCCCGGGCCGTCGCGTCGGGCCGCCGGGAGTGCGGTTGTGTCCGGGGTGCCCCGGGTCGGTCCGTCCGTCCTCGTGCCTTTTCCCCAGCAGCAAGTGTTTGTTTTCTCTTTGTCCCCACTTTCTCTTCCTGGTTGTGTCCCTTCAGTTTACGTTCGTAGCTTTGATTTGTTTACTTTTTGGGTATTGTGGGTGATGGCGGCGTGCGGGAAACATTCTTAGCGCCTAACTGAACCACCTCCCTCCCCTAATAAAACGTGTCTCCTAATAAAAGGCATAGTTTATTTTATTGTTAGGGCTACATGCACAGAGCGTGAAATTGGTGTAGGGTGGAGGGCGTTGGCTTCAGCACCCCAAACTGCTGTTATGATTTCTCAAGCCAGATTTTCAAAGACATGGGCGTGTTTAGTTAACTTGAAAGGTTCCTTTGCGAGTTAGGGAGGCTTTAAAAAGCCCCGTTGATTGATAGCTCCTCCCCACTGCCCCCACGAAGGCCGGAGTAAACTTTAAAAAATTTTAAAGTTGGTTTTTTTTCTGTAATTCATTTTAAAATTACTTTTCTTTCAGTGCCATCAGATTTTGATAATTTAAGGTGGGGTTGTCACTCACTTAGAAATGAAGTAACACGATGAAAGAGGGAGTTATTTAAAGTACCCTGAGTTCATGTTCTGCAGGCTTCTAATCTTGGTAAATTTTTTTTAATAATCTTTGACTTTTGCCAGAATTAGCATCTTCCTCAAAGTAGCAACTTGATTGTTTTGATCGTTTTAGGAATTAGGTTGAGGACTTTGTGCTGAAAGGCAAAAACCGCGTGGAATCTTAATTGAAAGTACAGAAATGTATACATTCCACAAAGTAATTAGATTTTAAGCACCGCATTTGAATACTTTTTTATTATAGATATCATGAATTTAACAGTATTTAGGACCTGAATTACTTGCAGTTGAAATGTAGCATAGGATATTCTAACGTAACTTTTTCCTACTATTGTAGACTCTTGTCTCCATTAGGAAGACCTGATAGGATTAATGCGTGCTGTTTCGAAGTGTAAATGATTGATGTAATAATGTATATGGCTTCCTGTCTTCTTGGACTCCTAATAGTCCTTTCTCAGCCTCCTAAGTGCTGGAATACAAGATTGGGACAAGGTGCCCACATGCTCATGAACTTGTTACAGACATGCACAGAGGCAGACTAATACCCATGACTCGATGTAGCTTCAGGTTTTGATGTTATGAATTATGTAGGAATTAAAACCTTTCTGAAGAGAATTGACATAATGTTGACTGTAGTAATAATACAAGTGACTTTTTTCTTTGTTTTCTAGGCTTTTGAGTTCCATCAGATTTGCCTTAAAGAGTTATTGTGTGTGTGTGTGTGTGTATTGAAGTAGTTCATAGTTTTGATTAAATGCTTCCATTGTAAATATTAAGTTTGAAGGAAGAATTAAAGTTGTGTTTACAGAATTAATGAAAATTCTGCTAAGCAAGTCAGTGAAAGTAATTTGGAATATGTTTTATATGGACCTGAGCTTTCCTGATGACTTTACTCTTGAAACAAGATCTGGGTTACAGATCTTGTTTTTTCTAAAGTGACTGTTTCATTTATGCTATCTGTTAAAGTATTTCTGTTTGTGAATTTTGTTTCTGGATTCCTCTACTCTCTCTCTCTCTCTCTCTCTCTCTCTCTCTCTCTCTCTCTCTCTCTCTCTCTCTCTCTCTCTGGATTCCCCTACACACAAACACGAGAGAGAGAGAGAGAGAGAGAGAGAGAGAGAGAGAGAGAGAGAATATTAAGAAGCAAGTATTAAACTAAGAGAGAGAGACAGAGAGAGAGAGAGAGAGAGAGAATATTAAGAAGCAAGTATTAAACTAATTTTTGCAGACCAGTCACACCCCGGCTCAATTAGAACCTATTTTTTTCTGATTGAGCCAGAGTTATAGTAGCATTGGCACACACTCTTCTAATTGAGCTGTTCATGGCTCAGGCAATTAACTCTGTAGAGTCTGCAGAATTGGTTAAATTTAAAATGCATATTTGGGCTTGTTTAAAATTTTGCCTCTTTTGGTGAGGACATACAGTTCTTTTTCTGAAGTTAAAATATTACCCATTTCAGTTCTCTTTTGTCCCCATCTAGTTGATGCCTAGGTTCTTGTTTTTCTTTTCATTTTTCATTCTTCCAGAGTGGATGTCTCTTTAAGCAACTTGTAATAGCTTTTTCAGTGCTTCATTGTGTGGGTGGATACCCCCACCCTCCACTGTATTTGGTTAAAGCCATGAGCAAGAGTGACTTGGGTGAACAGTAATCATGTATGAAACTAACCTGACAAAATGGTTTCATTGTTTTCTGTGCTAATGAAAGTTAAGGAGTTAGACCAGAATGTCACCTTCAGTATAGCTTTGTCAAATTATTTAGAAGTTTGTTTTATGTTGTTTTTGCCTATCAGTTGATGAAGATTCATTTGCTGAAGATGAGACATTCAGATAACTGATAAGTATTGTAGATAGTATGCAAACGAGCCACTTTTGTTACACTGTGGGCATCTTGGTATCTGTCCTCAGCTTATGTTAATAAGTCACAGTTAGAATTGTTGAATTTTTTCCCTTTTATTTTAAAATGTGCAATTTTGGTAATGGAAATTTTGGCTGAATACCAGTTTCTCAGAAACAAGATATTTTAGATTGTGTCACCTTGACACTGTTACATGGTGCAATTGGCATCCAGGAAGATTTATTTTGAATATGAAAGTGAATGAGGACTGAGGTGGTTAAGGACTAGGTGGTTCTTCCTTATGTAAAAGGAAAATGGTGGGTGATCAGATGCTTGATTGCAATTGATTTCCCCTTATAATTGATAAAGTTCATAGGTCAGAAGTTACTGAAGATGATTGTATTAATCAATTTGAAGATGATTCTAAGTCTCTTTCAATACAAGGACTGCATTTTATTATTCATTCTTTAAATAGGATTCTTCCCCCCCCCCCCCAGTTTGGACCCCCTCTTTTTAATTGCCCTCCACTGTTGCTAGGGATAGAACTTAGTCCTCATGAATGCTAGGCAAGTGTCCTGACACTTAGCTATGCTCTCCCAGCTCTTTTCACTGCTTTTTAGTTCCAAGGTTTCAGGGCAGTGATTTTCAGCCTTCCTTGAACATTGAGATTTCTTGGAGAGCTTTACAAAACACTGATGCCTGACTAATACCCATACAAATTTTGGTTGGGTTGCAATGGGCTGTGTAGCCAGCTTAGAAAAGCACGATAGTTGAGCCTTAGGGTGTTTTTAATCTGTTTCATTGTTGGCCTTACATTGTTTTCTCTCTCTTTGTTGTTTGTTTGGGAGAGGGATCTCACTATGTATCTGAGGCTGGCCTTGAACTTTGGGTTATCCTGCTGCCTCTGCCTACTGAGTAATGTGATTACAGGCCGGTTGTCCCATGCTCATTCCACTTTACATGCTTTTTAATGTAACAGTACATCCATGCAGAAGGTAATCATTGCAGGTTTAATTTAGTGGGTCTTCTGAAGGTCCTGCCTTCCTCTCCTTCCCAACCCTCTTCCTGCTTCCCCCCCTTTCCTGGTTTTTCAATGTATTTGTTTTGTTTAGTAACAACTTTTAGGAAGCTGCATTCCTTATGATCTTGAAATTGATCTCTAAATTAGCATCTAAATTCCCAATGAAATTTGATTGCTTTTTAAAGATTTATTTTTATTAATTAAGAATACATTTTAGCCCGGCAGTGGTGGCACGTGCCTTTAATCCCAGCACTCGGGAGGCAGAGGCAATCGGATCTCTGAGTTCGAGGCCGGGCTGGACCGACAGCCTCCAAAACAATACAGAGAAACCCTGTCTCGTAAAAACCAAAAAAAAAAAATTTTTTTATGTATATGGGTGTTTTGCCTACTTGTGACTGTATCACTTGCATACCTGGTGTCTCTGGAGTCCAAGAAGAGAGCATTGGATCTCTGAAATTGGAGTTACAGATGGTTGTGAGCTGCCATGCCAGTGCTTGGAATTGAATCCAGGTCTTCTGGAAGAACAGCTAGTGCTCTTAACTGCTGAGCCATTTCTCCAGCCCCCTATTAATTTTTAACTACACTTATGTGTGTGCCTCTGTGCTGGTGACTAAGGAGGCCACATGCCCAAAGTGTGTGCTGAGAAAGAACCAAACTCCAGTATCTTTAGAAGAAATAGTGTGTTCTCTTAACTGTTTAGCCACTTCATCAGCCCTGGAATTTAGTCATCCTTAGGGGTTAGTCTGCTTGGAAGTGACACGGTTTTCTAACCATGACTTTACTGGGCCTGTAGAGGAAAGTTGCATTGATTAAACCTGGACAGTTGAGGGTTTAATTTATGCATTGTGAGAAAGTTGCTCAACTAGCCCAACTAGTTGGCAGTTGTGTAGAGACATCATTTGGGCACATGTTCTCTTTTTATGTTTTTCCTTGCTGCTGCTGGTGATTGAATTTAGGGCCTCACACTTGGTTAGAATAGTGCTGTCCCACCGAGCCTCGGCTCTACTTTATTTACTCCATCTGAAGTCTCTCCAGAGTGCTGGTCTATAAAGGTAGCTGCATCTCTCTTTTTTGGAGGGGGGGTTTGGTTTTTTGAGACAGGGTTTCTCTGTACTGTTTTGGAGGCTGTCCTGGAACTTGCTCTGTAGACCCAGGCTAGCCTCTAACTCACAGAGATCCCCCTGCCTCTGTCTCTCGAGTGCTGGGATTAAAGGCGTGCGCCACCAACGCCCAGCCAAGG